AAGAAATTGCCATTTATTGTCTACTACATATTTAATACAAATCAGACATTACTTTTAATCAACATAATATTTTAAAATCATAAAACAAATCAAAATGCTATTGAAAAAAATGATGAGACCCATAAAATTATAAATCAGTGATTTCTGTATCTCTCAATGAGACTTCTACACCTGCCAACAGCTAGAAGCTAACTGCTCCAGCTGTCTCAGGCTGGAAGAGTTCCGCCTCTAGACTGAAAGTTTCAGCTTTTTCCATAGATGTTCAATAGGATTCAGATCAGGGTTCATAAAAAGCCACTTCATAATAGTCCAAACTTTTGTACTTAGCCATTCTTGGATGCTTTTAGATGGAGGACCCATGATCTACGGCTGAGACAGAACTTTCTGACACTGGACAGTACATTTTGCTTTAGAATTCCTTGATAGCATGGAGATTTCATTGTGCATTACACATATTCAAAGGCACCCTGTGCCAGATGCAGAGATGCAGCCCTGGACCTACACCATGATTTACAGTAGGTACAGTGTTCTTTACTTTGAAAGCTTAATTTTTTTTGGTGCGATCAGACACTGCTGTACCTTAAATTTGGGATCCAGCTTGTATCTCTTTGGAAGTTTTCCTTGGCTTTATGTCTACCATCCACAATATCCTTCTGTTCAATCTGGAGTCAATGTTCCTCTTGTGGCCACATCCAGCGAGGTTGGCTACACTCCCATAAACCCTTAACTTCTTAATAATAGAACTGTAGTCACAGAAACATAAAGCTGCTTGAAGATGGTCTTACAGCCTTTACCTTTGACATGCTGGTCACTTTTCATGAGAGATTAAGCATGGTTTCAAAGAGCTATAAAAGGTACCAACAAACTTGTTTTTTATACATAAAACATAAATAAAATAATGTGGCTGCACAAGTGTACACACCCTCTTATAATTAGGGATGTGGGTTGTATTCAGAATTAACCAATCACATTTAAACTGATGTTAAATAGCAGTCAGTAAAACCTTCTATCAATTAAAGTGACTCTGATTAAGCTCATATGAAGTTCAGCTGCTCTAACGGGATTTTTTTCGGACATTTAGGCAGTTGCCTCTTTCACCAAAGCCATTGTCCGCATAGAGCTTACAAATTGCCAAAAGCATTAAATATACCATGGATCAGAGTGAAGACGGTCATCAACAATACAAATATGACAACAGTGACATTACCAAGTGGACGTTCCTTGAAAATTGATGAAAAAACAATAGGAAAATTGCACTGGGAGGCTGCCGAGAGGCCTACAGCAACATTTAAAGAGCTGCAGGAATTTCGGGCAAGCACTGGTTGTGTACTACCTGTGACAACAATCTGCTGAATTCTTCATATGTCTGGGCTGGGGGGTAGGGTGGCAAGACAGAAGCCTTTTCTTACAAAGAAAAACATCCAAGCCAAGCTACATTTTGCAAAACCCTACATCAAGTCTGACAAAAGCATGTGGGGAAATGTGTTATGATCTGATGAGACCAAGACTGAACTTTTTGGCCATAATTTCAGAATGTATGTTTGGAGCAAAAACAACAACACTGCACATCACCAAAAGAACATCATACCCACAGTGAAGCATGGTTGTGGCACTTGGGAACTGTTTTTCTTCAGCTGTAACTGGGGCTTTAGTCAAGGTGGATGGACTCATGAAAAGATCCATATATCAGTCAATTTTGGCACTAAACCTTCAGGACTCTGCTAAAAAGCTGAAGATACCTCGCCTTCCCTCCTTCCTCCCCTCCTCTCTTTCCACATGTTTTGCCATCCTTCCCTTCCTCCTAACCTCCATACAAATGGAAATTATATTGTGATATTCTCCATTGCAAAGCATACTGTTTCCGGAATGTTAATTCTGACTTGTTGACGTTTTCCACACCTTTAACTTGGTTATGTTATATGCATTTTGTTATGTATGCTTCACTTGACTTCAATAAATAACTATTGAAAGTAAAAAGCTGAAGATTAATTTCACCTTTCAGTAGACAATGAACCAAAACATACATCCAAATTAACAAAAGAATGGCTTCACCAGAAGATCAAAGTTTTG